CTGTTGCTATTATATTAGAAAAGAAATGCTGCCGGGCCACATACAGAGCTAGATGAGCCTGTAAGAGGCTCGGTCAACAGACATGAGTCTTCTAGCTCAGGCAGCCGACACTCCTGCTCCGAGACTCAGCAGTCCCCTGTTGGATTCTTGCTGATAACCCACCCAGGGACATGGCATTACAAGGCTGCCCTGTATTTACTCTGGAAAGAGAGCGTCCACATGGTGGATTATACCAGTAGAACTATATTGGTGTAAATTCACACTTTAGCTTATAGTGGGAAAACTTCCCAGTGTAGACAAGGCCTTAAACTGTAAGATTTTGGGGGCAGGGGTCGTCACTTATGTGGATGGGCCCTGAACCAGGAGTGGGCCCCTGTCCAGGCTATTCTCATACCACTGCTAATAAAACCAGCAGGATTCATCTCGGAGAAAGCCACAACATTGTTTACAAGGATTTTATGGCCTGTCTAGCAGTTTGTTCCTTTATCCCTGTCTGGCGCATGTAGAGAGGTTTATGAGTCTGTCATTAGCTGTAAACTAACAGGCCATGGATGCTGTATGTGTTATGAAACCTCGTGGGCTGCACAGATCCTGGTGTAAATCAGGAGGGCTGCTCCCCAAAATCTCTCCTCTCCCTCCTATTATGCTGATGCCCCGTCCCGTCAATAAGAGGGCTTCCAAGAATGTCCTGTATTCCACCAGGGAGAGGGGTAGTTACAGAGACACTGACACCCTGCGAGCTGGGAGGAGCTAGATGTGAAATCCCCTCACTAGGCATTTTTTGCAGCTTATTATATGGCTTATTAGCTGGCATCTTGGTTACCGGGTATAAGGGCCTTCCTGAGAAATACCAGGTACTAAAGGGCTTTTAAATCTAGCAGAGTAAGAACCAACCGCTCGAAGTTAAAGCCAGGCAAATTCAAATAAGAAATAAGGCCCACATTTTTAACAGTGATGGTGATTAACCATTGGAAGAATCTCCTCACGGACGTGGTAGATTCTCTCACTCCTGATGTCTTCAAATCCAGGCTTGATGCCCTAGTCAAACTCAAGTAGTGGGCTCAGTAGCGGGGACACTGGGTGAATTTCTCTGGCCTGCGTTATCCTGGAGGTCAGACTAGATGATCATAATGGTCCCTTGTAGCCTTAACATCTAGGACTCTATGAAAAGTGCCCCGGACTTCACACTTGTTTTCTTTTCCCTTCCAGCCCTAGAGGTTCAAACAGCAGGATGATCACTGAAATGTCAGCTGGGAACCAGGCTATGATGATAAGAAGGAAGATCCATCTTCCACACTCTGATCTCGTAAATCAAATACAAACTGCAAATTGTGCCGTAACAACTGCTGTGGGGGGCTGGGGCAGGACTGATGTTAATAATATATGGATATACCTATCTCATAGAGCTGGAAGGGACCCTGAAAGGTCATTGAGTCCAGCCCCCACCTTCACTAACAGGACCAAGTACTGATTTGGCCCCAGCTCCCTAAGTGGCCCCCTCAAGGATTAAACTCACAACCCTGGGTTTAGCAGGCCAAAGCTCAAACCACCGAGCTTTCCCTGCCCTCTGAGAGTTGATTTTGCTGCCTTTAATCAGCAAGCAGACAATGGGGACGTTCACTAATGTTTACACCAAGAACAGCAGAAGCTCCACCAGGACTGAAAATAAATCTCACCAGCAAACCATTTCTCTCCTCTCCCTGTTCATTGGTGACAAATTTAATATTTTTCGGTGCATCACAATGGAATGTTGCGCCATTTAAGATCGTGCCAATTCCTATTCAAGGGTGGTACGAAGGCCGGTCTGGGCTAAGGCACCGGGACTCAGGACTCCTGCTCTCAGTTGCTGGCTCTGCTACAGAATCTCTGTGTGACCTCATGCAAGTCACTTATCCTCTCAGCCCCCTCACCTATAAAAGGGTGAGAATAATCCTTACCTGGCCTGTTTAGAGTGTGAACTCTTCGGGGGCAAGGACTGTCTCCCTCTGTGTGTGTCTGGGCAGCGCCTGGCACAACTGGGACCTGATCGTAGTCGGGGGGAGGGACTTTCTCTCGCTGGGTGTCTGGCCAACGCCTGGCACAACTGGGACCTGATTTCAGGTGGAGACTCGAAGCACTGCTGACATAAAAACAATGCTCATAATAACAATAGGGTGGGGCTTGGGGCTGTTAAGGAATTAGTACTGAAAGGTATAGACTAGTATTGGCTGCCCATATTTATTAAGGGAAGCATAAAAGATAAGGAGCTCCACTATGTTATTGTGCCCCTATAGGCTTGGCTGCTGACAGATGCCAAGTTCTGAGCCACGCCGCCCTGTTAGAATTTTTCAAGGGAGTTGACACGTGAGGGGGAGGAGATATGATTTGTTTGGGCATTTGATTCCCATTTGCCTGGTCTAACTATCAGACTTCACTCCCTTCCCATAGGAGAACCTTGGTGTCCCTACTCCTGCCCTCACCACTAGTTCATACTGCCTTAGCGGGGTGTGAGCTGGACACCCCCATTGCTGAACTCCTTCCGTGTTAAAAACTGACCATCTCCCCGTACGCTGATTCCTGTTCCTACGGATCCATGGGTACCTCTCACCCAAAGACCAGGTTCCTCAGTCGCCCGTAGCGTGGGGCTTTATCGCAGGCGTTGTGAGAGCCCAGACAGGCCATTGGCTTCACCGGCTGGAGAGCTACGTTCTCCCGCTGGCTCTAGCGCAGATCTGCGACGTGACTTTGAGAAGGGCTCGTCCACACACAGCCTGAGTGCATGGCCAGCCGGCGTAAACATCTAGAGCACACTAGCTTGCTGGGCACAAAGTGGCCGTGCGGACCCTGCTACTGTGCTCTAAAACCTCGGCAGGGCCCTTTGAGTGCCTGGTGTTCCAAGTGACAGCGCACCCAGCTTCCACTCAGGCACCACAGTTCTCT